TAGGGAATTCCAAAAATTAAATAACGAAATATCCTCTTGTTTCAGTCCTCAATAGCTGATTCTGTGTTCTAAGAATTTCCCCCGATTTTTGTTCCCTGGTTTCCGGGTTCAGGTGCATAGAGGCAGATGAATTTCTGATTCCGAGAACCTGACATTTAAAAATGGCCCTCTACACTTACCGCTTCTAGTCCAGTGGAACGGCTGGATTGGGAATCCAGTCACATGACCCAGGAAGAATGGAGAAGGTTGCTAGTACCTGAGGCAGGCTAGGCTGAATGCCTGGCTGAGGACTACAGCACTGTGTTCAACGTTCAAAAATAAAGATTAAAATGTAAACATGCCACCTGCTCTCACTCTGTCCCTCCCCTCAATCTTCTTGCATCTTCCATGCCAACCTATTGTACCCACTCTACAGATGTACATGATGCACTTGTGCCAACCTATGCCACCTACATGTGGAGTCTCTAACCCCATGACACCCTGTGCTTTCACAGCTCCAGTTCCCTCAATGCCAATTTACCCGTCCCTCACGGACCCTCATACCCTATATACCCTCAATTATTCCCTTCTCTCCTTTTGGTTTCTATGTCAACACTGCAAACTCATATCATTCACCCAGCACCTTTTTGTCCTTCTTTTCAAATGCCAATGAACCTATTCCTTGGCATGGGCATAACGCAAGACACTTGCAGATTGATGATGTTGCTATTGAGTTAAAATATACAAATTGATACAAAAATATATTGAAATTAAAATTACATTGAAATTATCTCAACTCATCCCTTTTGAGACGCCTTATGTATTAGATGAAGGTGGATTGGGACCATATGATGTAGAAGCACAAATAGACCATTCAGCCCATCACATCTGCTCTGCTATTCAGTGATATTAGGGGTACTCTGATAATCCTCAACTCCACTTTCCTGCCCTTTCTCTATAACCCTTTCTTCCCTTACTGATTAAAAATCTATCTATCTCAGCTTTGAGTTTATGAATGACACAGCCCTAATAGCCCTCTGTGATAAAGAATTCTACAGATTCATTTCTAATGTTTGGGAACAAATATTTCACTTAAATGCTCAATAACCTATTTCAAAAAACATTTCACTGATGCATTTAACCCATATTTATTTAATTCCTATTGTCAACAAACATGACTGATAGGTTTCTCAACCTAGTTCTTCTGCCTTCTCCCAGTAAGCCTTGATCCCCTTGCTAATCAAGGAGCTATCTATCTCTGTCTTAAATGCATTCAATTCCTTCCACAGATTCACTACCTTCTGGCTGCAGAAATTGCTCTTCATCACAGTTTTAAAGGGTTGTCCCTTCACTCTGAAGTTGTGCCCTCGGGTCCTAGGGTCTCCTACTGGTGGAAACATCTTCGCCACATCCACTCTATCCGGGCCTCTCAGAATTCTGTAAGATCCCCCATATTCTTCTAAACTCTTTTGTGTACAGACCTAGAGACTGCAACCAGTTCTCATATGACAAGCCCTTCATCCCTGGGATAATTTTTCTAAACCTTCTATGGACCCTCTCCTTCACCAACACATCCTCCCTTAGATACAGGGCCTGATACTGCTCACAATATTCCAAATGCAGTCTGACTCGCATGTTATACAGCCCCAGAAGTATATCTCTGCTCTTGGTTTCTAGACCTCTTGAAACGAATGCCAACATTGCATTTGGCTTCTGAACCACCAACTGAACCTGCATGTTAACCTTAAGAGAGTACTGAACTAGGACTCCCAAGTCTATTTGTGTTTAAATTTCCGAAGTCTTTCCCCATTTAAAAAAATAGTCTATCTACATCTGTATTCTTCCTCTCACTTCCCCGCGTTGTAGTCCATCTGCCACTTCTTTGCCTACTCTCGTAGCTGGTCCAAGCCCTTCTGTAGCCTCCCCATTTCCTCAACACTCCCTGTCCTTGCACCTATCTTTGTGTCATTTTCAAACCTTGCAACAATGCCCTCAGTCCCTTTGTCTAGATCGTTAACGTATAACATGAATAGTTGTGGTCCCAACACTGACCCCTGTAGAATTTCACTGGCCCCTGGCTGCCATCCAGAAAAAGACCCCGTTATCCCCAGCTCTCTGCCTTCTGCCAGTCAGCCAGTCCTGTGTACATACCAGTACCTTGCCCCTAACACCATGGGTGTAATCTCATTTAGCAGCTTCCTGTGCAGCACCTTGTCAAAAGCCTTCTGGAAATCCAAATAGATCGTATCCGCTGTCTCTCCTTTGTCAAACTTGTTCATTACTTCTTCAAAGAATTCTATCTCCTCAAATTCTTCTCCTTGATGAATCCTTGCTGACTCAGCCCTAATTTCCCTTACACTTCCAATTACTCCGCAATCTCATCCTTAATAATGGATTCTAAAATCTTATCAACAACTGAGTTCAGGCTAACTAGCCTATAGTTTCCTGTCTTCTGCTTTACCACCGCAACCCCCCTCCCCCATCCCTTTAGATGGGGATATTAAATTAGCCATTTTCCAGTCTTCTGACATCTTTCTTGACTGCAGTGATTCATAAAAGTTCGCCACTAATGCCTCTAGGATCTCCTCAGCTATCTTCTTCAAAACTCTGGGGTGTAGTCCATTTGGTCTGGGTGATTTATCTACCTTCAGACCTTTCAGCTTCCCTACTACCTTATCCTTAATGATGGCCGCTATACTGACCTCTATCCTCTGACTCTCTTGAAGTTCTGGTGTGCTGCTGGTATCTTACATTGTGAAGACTGAAGCAAAGTACCTATTCAGTTCCTTCGCCATTTCTTTGCTCCCTAATACTACTTCTTCAGCCTTATTTTCAAGCAGTCTAATGTTTACTGTTGCCTGTCTCATACTTTTCATATATCTAAAAAAATCTTGCAAAATTATTTTATATTCCTAGTCAGCTTACCCTCAGATTCCATCTTCTTCACCACCCCCACCCCCCATTTATTGCTTTTATAGTTATCCTCCACTTGTTTGTAAAGGTTCCCCAATCCTCTGGCTTCCTATTAATATTCAACACATTATAAGCTTTTTCTTTTACTTTTATGCTGTCCCTGACTTCCTATGTCAGTCATGGTTGCCTCATCATCTCCTTTGTATATTTCTTCTTCCTTGGAATATGTGTGCCTCCTGAATTTTCCCTAGAATCTCCTGCCTTTGCTACTACACCATGTTCCTTGCTTGGCTCCCCTTTTTATCAACCCTGGCCAGCTGCTCCCTTATGTCTTTGTAGTTAGCTTTACTCAATTGTAATATCATTCTATCTGATTCAATCTTCTTCCTCTTAAACTGCACGGTTAATTCTATCATATTACAGTCATTGTCCCCTAGAGGTTCCTTCACCTTAAGCTCCCGAATCGAGTCTGCCTCATTACACATCACCAAACCCTGAACTGCCTGTTTCCAAATGGGCCCTATCACAAGCTGTTCCAAAAAAACTCTCATGGACATTCCACAAATTCCTTTTCTTGAAATCTGCTGCCAACCTGATTTTTGCAGTCCACCTGCATGTTGAAGCCCCCCATGATTATTTCATCTGACAAACTATCTTTTAGCACTCAGTCTTAATAAAAGTCAATAACGTCAATGACAATAACTAATTTAATACTGTGACTTATGTGTCAATATAAGTGACATTTGTGAAATAAAATTGGAAAGGTTTTATATATGAACTAATTTTTCTGTAGTTATATTTTGCATATAAGTTAAGTGCCTTGCATATAGCTCTGACGGCTGTCTGAGGCTGAAACAAGGTCACAGCAAATATTGAAGTTATTTGAAAAAAATAACAAAGAACTGTGGATGATGGAAATCAGAAACAAAAGCAGAAATTGATGGAAAACTCAGCAGGTCTGGCAGGATCTGTGGAGAGAAAGCAAAATTAATGCTTCAGGCTCAGTAACCCTCTGTCAGAACAAGAGTTTTTTTTTCCTTTTATTTGTTCACAGGATGAGGGCATCACTGGCTAGACAGCATTTATTGCCCATCCCTAATTGCTAGAGGGCAGTTAAGAGTCAACCACATTGCTGTGGGTCTGGGGTCACATGTAGGCCAGACCAGGTAAGGATGGCAGTTTCCTTCCCTAAAGGATATTAGTGAACTAGATAGGTTTTTTGCCCAACAATGGATTCACGGTCATCATTAGATTCTTAATTCCAGATATTCATTGAATTCAGATTCCACCATCTGCCATGACAGAATTTGAACCTGGGTCGCAGGATTAACAGTCCAACAATAATACCACTCGGCCATCATCTCCCCTTCTATATGAATACTTCACATTGAAGTGTTTGATTCTGAGGTGAGTTTCCGCCCACATAATGATATCATCACTAAAACTACACATTTTCATCTGTAGCATTCCCTGCTATAGCTCACCTGCTGGCAGAAATGCTATCCATATCCTTGTCTCAAGATTTGACCATTCCAATGCATTCTGGCTGATCTACCTCTTTTACTCTCTGTGAACTTGACATGATCCAAAAATCTGCTGCCATAATCTAAAACACACCAAGATCTGTTCACTGATTACCTCAGGACTTGTCAACCAAATTATTGGATCCCATTTAAGCAATGCCTCAATTTTAAAATACCTCCTGAAATCTCATTGCCTTTTATTATTCTTTCCTCCTTTCAGACCCTTTTAAAAACCTCTTTTATGAAATCTTTTAATCTTCAGCCCTTGTACTACCTTATGTGGTTTGGTAGCAATGTTTACTAATAATAGTCATGTGAAGTACTTTGGGATGTTTGACAATGTTAGAAGTGTTATATAAAGCAGGTTTTTTGTTCCAATATACTGAATCTTTCATAGCATTTTACAGATCTTGTAATAAACGACATTCTGTAACCAGAAGATATATCAAATCATTTATTTGCAAGCATAATGTGAGGATACAGTGTTTAAATAACAATGCTTTAATAAGAAATTTGTTTTGGTATGTGTTCGATGTTTTCTGGCTTGAAGGATCAATTAATTTCCCTCTTCTGATGTTGGCACAGGTTGCGAGTTTGTTCCATGACCCAAGTATTGGCAATGCTATCCACATCGTTTTGGTTCGGCTCATTTTACTGGAGGAAGGAGAGGTATTATTCAAGTAGTTTATTAAAATAGAAGTATGAGATTTATGATTACAAGTTTGACTTTCAGTGCAGTGTATTTTTTATCAATGTTACTAAATCGCTGAATATAATTTTTATATATGTGTAAGCAGATATCTATTCTACACCAAAATTTGGACACTAATTATCCTTCTTTAATTTTAAATATTCTTTGATAATTTGTTTGATTCAGTGATATTATTGTTTTATTGATGACTGTTTTCTTAACCAATATCTTGCTGAGGTGCTACTCTCAGTAACGTTGCAGCTTGATAGACCACAGAACTTTAATGGCTCAGATATTCTGCTCAGAGTTTGAAATTTTGATCCAATTAAAAATAACCCAATAATAGATGTCTTCTGTGCTGGAAAGTCCCGGATAGTGGAGATGGCCTAGTGGTATTATTGCTGGACTATTAATCTAGGTACTCAGCTAGTGTTCTAGAGATCTGGGTTCATAATCCCACCGTGGTAGCTGGTAGAATTTGAATTCAACAAAAAAAATTCTGGGATTAAGCATCTACTGATGAGTATGAAAGCATTTTTGATTGTTGAAAGAAACTCATCTGGCTTAGTAATGCTCTTCAGGGAGGGAAATCTGCCATGCTAACTTGGCCTACTTGTGACTCCTGACCCACAGTAATATGGTTGACTCTCAACTGCTCTCTGAAATTGCTCTGACAAGACACTCAGTTCCAAGAGTGGCTAGGGATGGGCAATAAATGCTGACCAGCCAGTGATGCCCAGGTCTCACAAGTGAATAAAAACAAACCTGGCCAGGAAATCCAGCAATGCAGAAAGTACAATCCATTATGTGGCAGTGTGCCATGTTAAGTGATTTAAAAGGTAAGAAGCAGAGCAGCCACTTGTGGCTGTGAAAGGGTAAGGATACATAAAAGAAGCAGGCCATTTGGTCTATCGAGTCCATACTGCTCCTCTGAAGAATGACCCACTCTCCTACCCTATCCATGTAACCCTGCGTTTCCCATAGCTAATCCACCTAACCTGCACGTTCCTAGATACTCCGGGACAATTTAGCATGGCCAATCCACCTAACCTGCATATTTTTGGACTGTGGGAGGAAATCAGAGCACCTGGTGGAAACCCAGACAGACACGGGGAGAACATGCAAACTCCCGTCGCCCGTGGGTGGAATCAAACCCAGGTCCCTGGCACTGTGAGCCGTATGTGTTAGAGAACTTAGAGTAGTAGTTGGTTGAAAGGATCAGTGCCAGCTGGGTGAGGGTGGCCGGTGGATGAGGTTGGTATGATGCCAGGTGGGTAGCCTCCCCATATGGATGAAATCAAGGTGTGAAGGTGGGTCAGATGCCAAGATGCCCAGTAGATGAATGAGTGGTTAGGATGGGTTGGAGATAATGGGGATACCCTTGTGGGGGTGTTGTTTAGGCGTGGGATGTCTGTATGGACAGGTGGGCAAAAGCATACCAGGTTGAACTCTGTCAGGGGGAGGGGTTGCAGAAGGATTTTGAGTTTGGTTGAGCTGTGGTCTGGCTGAGGTAGGTTGGCATTGTGTTAGAGGTGTCAGGCCATTGGGCTGGATGTATTGTGGGTAAGATGTGCTGAGTCTGAGAGGGAGGAGGTGGATGTCAGATCCTTGGTGGGGTTTGCGGTTTTCTGAATGGGTGTTGGTTTTGGGGGAGTGTCAGCAGAAGGAGGGGGATTAACATTGAAGGTAGATTTCAGCTACAACAGGTTGGGGTTGTGGTGTGAGGGGGAAGGGTAAAATGGGTGGGATTTGGGGGCTTAGGGGTGCAGACTTGAGAGGTGGGGGTTTGGTTGTCAGAGGTCTGGGATGTAAGGAGTCAGGGGAGGTTGAGTTGGAGTGGAGAGTTGGGGGTTCAGTTTAATAGGTACCTCATTTTTAAACTCTCAGTGTATTGAGCAGAATGATCGCAACAACTGCCCAATGTTGTTGATCGGATGACAAATAACTTTATTGACCGGCCTGATTTAAATTCAGTTGAAGAGCTGCTTTTGTGTGTTTGAGTGCCATCAACACAGTCACTATTTAGACCGGGTGGGAAATCTGTCAGGCCAGCCATAAAGCATGATTCAGCAGTACAGGGCAAAAGGGGATAGCAGGATTCATCAGGGATTGAATATCGAGCATTAACAAATGGCCACAAGATTATGAACTTGAAGCAGGAACAATGAAGAAGGTAGTCCTAAAGCTGCTGAGTAACTTAAGTTTTGTTCCTGTTGGATCTGCTTCCAGTTTCCAGTTCCCTTGAAGTGATACTTGTTTTGTTGCTTATGTAGTGATTTACTCCATGCTAAAGCCCAGCAAACAGGCCTGGAAATGCAAAATAGATCACACCAGCAAGTTGATATAGCTTAGTGAGACTTCTGGATGTTTCTTCTGGGACCTCCTGTCACCTCATTGGAGATCAACTCAAAAATTTGCAGTGAGCTAGCCTTGAACAGAAGACTATTGGAAACCTCCTTTTTGCAGTTCTTGTGTTAGTGCCACTGTCTTTGCACTCAGGCAGTGCTGTAACCAAAATAAAGGTTTCAGCACCAGACTTAGATTTCATACAAAGCAACAGCCCCAATTGACAGAAAATTTATTTAACTTTAAATATTTATATATAGTATAAAGAAGTTTTTTTTTCCTTTGGACATTCCCTTTTAGTTTTTGTGTGAGTACTGTAAGCTAGGATACAAATAACCTTCAGAAAATGCTAAGGGACAGAGGGAAAGGGACAAAGGAGAAACTGAAGGAAATCCTTATTAGTCAGGAACTGTTACAGGGGAAATTGATGGGATTAAAACCCAATAAGTCCCCAGGGTCTGTTGCTCTGCATCGCAGAGTATTTAAGGACATGGCTCTAGATATAGCAGACACATTGGTGTTCATTTCCCAGCCTTCTGTAGACTCTGGAAGAGTTCCAATGGACTGCAGGGTAGCTAATGTAACCCCTTTCTTTAAAAAAGGAGGGTGAAAGAAAATGGGGAATTATAGACTGGTTAGCCTGACATCTGTAGTGGGGAAAATGTTAGAGTCAAATTATTAAGGATGTAATAAATGAGCATTTGAATTACTTATAGTCAGCATGGATTCACTAAAGGGTAATCAGGCTTTACAAATCTTCTGGCATTTCTTGAGGATGTGACCGGTAGAGTGGAAAAGGGTGAATCAGTATGTGTTGTACATCTGGACTTCCAAAAGGCTTTTGACAAGGTTCCGCACAAGAGATTAGAAAGGAAAATTAAAGCTCATGGTATTGGAGGTCATGTATTGACATGGATAGAGAACTTATTGGCAGACAGGAAGCAGAGAGTTGAAATAAATGGGTCCTTTTCAGAGTGGCATGCAGTGACAAGTGGGGTACTGCAAGGTTCAGTGCTGGGACCCCAGCTGTTCACAATGTAAATTAACAAAGGAATAGAATGTAATATCTCCAAATTTGCAGATGACATTAAGGTGGGTGGCAGTGTGTGCTGTGAGGAGGATGCTAAGAGGGCTCCAGGGTAACTTGGATAGTCTGGTTGAGTGGGCAAATACTTGGCAAATGCAACATAGTGCGGATAAAATTGGGGTTATTCACTTTGGTGGCAAAAACACAAAGGCAGATTATTATCTGAATGGTGGCAGTGGCAGTTTAGGAAAAGGTGAGGTGCAGTGAGAGCAGTCACTGAAAGTTGGTATGCAGGCGCAGCAGAGGTTGAGGAAAGCTAATGGTATGCTGGCCTTCATAGCTAGAGGCTTTGAGTATTGGAGTAAGGATGTCTTGTTGCAGTTATGCAGGGCCTTGGTGAGGCCACACCTGGGTATTGAATTCAGTTTTGATCTCCTAGTCTGAGGAAGGACGTTCTTGCTATTGAGAGAGTCCAGGGAAGGTTCACCAGACCGATTTCTGGGATGGCAAGACTGACATATGAGGAAAGACTGGATCAACTGGGCTTGGTCTCACTGGAATTTAGAAGAATGAGGGTGGATCTCATGGAGACATATAAGATCCTGATTGGACTGGACAGGCTAGATGCAGGAAGAATGTTCCTGATGTTTGGGAAGTCCAGAATTAGGGGATACAGTTGAAGAATAAAGGGTAAACCATTCGAGACTAAGATGAGGAAAAATTTCGTCACTCACAAGGTTGTGAGCCTATGGAATTCTCTCCCATAGGAAGTTGTTGGGGTCACTTCATTAGCAATATTCAAGAGGGAACTGGACATGGCCCTTGTGGCTAAAAGGATCAAGGGGTATGGGAGAAAGTGGGAATGGGATACTGAGATTGCATGACCAGCCATGATCATATTGAATGGTGGTGCAGACTTGAAGGGCTGAATGGCCAACCGCTGCACCTATTTTCTATGTTTCAATGTTTCAATGGGCATAGTCCATCCTGTGGTGTTCACTTAAACATATTGTAATATGTAGCAAATTAATGTCATGCCTAATAGTTTTTCTTCTGATATAATGTCGTTCAAACCTTTTACAGAAAGAATTAAAAATCATTCATCATGCTGACCATACTCTTTCCAGTTTCTGCAAGTGGCAAAGAAATGTGAATCCTAAAAGCGACTCCACTCCACATCACCATGACATCGCCATATTGTTGACTAGGTCAGTTTGATTTTAAAAATGAGAATGAAAAGCAATTGGAAATGTTATTAGAAAATACGAGGTAACACACCAGACTGATCTTTAAAAGACGAATAGCATTTTTTTGATGGCCTCAGAGTTGGCATGATCGACTATGGATACAGATAATAGGGCTTTCTTTCCAACGCATACTTGCTTGCTGCAGATTGTCTTGGTGGATGCAAAGTCTTGGAAATTGTTTCTATTTTCTGAACGACCCTCAGACTGAGATAGTTAATAGTCTTAAACATGAGATGAGCATCAAATATGTACCCAGAAGGCAGGTTAGCATTTTGAATAAGTTAATCAGGCTGCAAGCATTGGTTTTTACCTGTTCTGTATGCTGAGCAACGTCTGGGCAGGATTTCCAGACTAGAGGAAACCTGAGAAGTGTATAGGGTTGAGGTCAGCCTTAGGACAAGGCAAGGGGTGGCAAATTTAAAATAGAGATGAGGAGGAATTACTTCTGTTAAAGGGTCACTATCCCAGAGTGTGATGGATACTGGGCCATTTAATTCATTTTAGGAGGAGATGGACCAATGTTTAATTATCAACAGACTAAAGGGTTATAGTGCTTAGGCAGGAAATTGGAGTTGAGCTGGCATAAGATTAGCTGTAATCGTATTAAATAGTGGAACAGGTTAGAGGGGCTGAATTTCCTATACTTGTTCCTCAATCTTGTGTACTTATTTATGATCTAAGTGCCTTCACTCCTTGTAGCCAAGGAAGAGCAGGAGTTTTTTTTTTCTCCTGGACACCCACCACAAGCTTATCCCTAATAATCCTGCCTCTAATACACTCATTGTTGCCTGTTCCTTGCACCTCTGTCGAGATTGAATTTCCCGTTTGAGATCAAACTCATTCATTTCTGTAGCATGCTAGAAAGTGCTTCTTACCCAATCAGGAACACATCACCTTGTTTTCTGGACTAGGAACCTGTCAGTAATGAAATATGCTGTTTGGAAATAAAATTCCACAGCATGCAGGGAACATACAGAGTCTGTGCCCCATGTACTACCAGGCACCCACACGCAGCCTCCAACACTGAGTTCCACTGAAATATCTCCACTGAGGCTGGTATCCCATCACCAAGCCACCCTTTATTTACATGTGGAGAGTCCTTGTCACTGATCCAGTTCTCCTAGAGCCAGCTCTCAGAATCAACAGAACCTCTGACACTCCTATTCTTATCTGTTAGCCAGGACTCCCTGATTGTCCTTGTTTTTCAAGGACCGCAACTTCCCCCCCTCAGTGGTCGAGAACGCCCTCAACCGTGTCTCCCACATTTCCCGCAACTCATCCCTCACACCCCATCCCCGC